GTACTTAACTTTAGAAAAACTTAGGGTCCATTTGATTGGCTTCAATTGATCAATTCTATGGAAAATGTCACATTCGAGAAATTTTTATTTTTTTTACTTTGACTGTTTGATACGAAAGTGAAATTGAAAATCGAATCCAGGATACGAACACTTAAAACATGTTTCAGCCAATTGAGTGGAAAATGCATTCTTATGATTTTGGTGAGTTTGTCATTTTCAACTTATATGGAATTGATTTGTCTTTTTTACCTTTGTAATCAAACGGGGCCTTAGATGAAACTACGTTTTTAAGTTTTTCAAATAAAAAATCTTCACAAATCGGTGTTATTATAAAATTTAAATATTTTTTTAGTATTTAATTTTTCTACTTTCACAAATCCCTATAATTTAGGAATTATTATCTTAAAGGAAAAACTGTAGCCATGATACCAAACTTATCACTTTTATTCGACTTGACTTAAACCTTTAATTTGTACCATCTACGATATCAAACATTTCAAAAAATCTCACTTGTAGTCCAAATTGATGGTTTCTGTTAATTTGACCATTATTTGACTAGAGAATTGACAATGATCAAAATTTTGTCTAATTTTAAAAGGTTAAAATTATAATTTTACATTTTTTCAACAAAAAACACAATTATAATATATTAATAATTAAATTAAAAAACAAAAATCAAAACATAAACCACCCACACCCTCCCCTCCTTCCCCAATCCCCAAAACCAAATCTAGAAAGCCATCGTCACCTTCAATTGCCATAGTCAGCACCACCATCTTAACCTCTAAGTCCCACTACCACCTTGAAACTAGGCATTGCTAACTCAAAATTGTGAAGCCAAGGCAGTGTTTGTCATGGCGTTACAAGAGCCCGTGTGAATGCTTCGAAATCAACATCGTCCTTGAGCATGTCCTCGAAATCAGCACCACCACCTCAAAAGGTTTAGATTCAGGTTTTGAGAAGCATTTAATTTGATCATTGGTTGGATTTGGTATTTTCTGCTGAGTTGAGGTAGTGTTGAGCACTTGCCTCGGCCAAAATCCATCACTTGTATTTGTTTTCTTCATTTTTAGATTTCTTTTAATTATATTTTGATTTCAGAAACATGCAAGATTCGATCCAAAAAATGACTTGCTTTCGTTCAATAATCGAAAGGATGAATTTATATCCATGCATTCGAATTCAGTAACTATTATTGTTTTGCTCCTCAAATCAATTTCAATAAGTCAAAATTACGTTTCAATTTTGTGAACATAAACGGTATATTTTTTGTCATAATATGCACAATATCGGTGTAATTTCTAACAATCTTAAGATGAATTTGCCCCGTATCGGTGCTAATGAATTTTCGACAATCATCTCCCAAGATATAACTATCACATCTAGCCATAGGAGTACTCCAAATGACTTAGACCAACGAACTCGATCGGAATTCCTTCTCTATCACAATCATGACTTTGATGCAAATGTTTTATGCAAAACCAAAGTGTAACATGAAATGGAATGATATGGAACTATGAATTGAATTTCTTGAATTGATAAAATCCAAACATATGAGATCTATATATAGTAGCTGGATCAAAGGATACAACCATACCAAGAGACATATCTCTTGAAATTTATTTCTATACATTAAGAGACACAATTATTGGAAATTCATCATACTCATACCAAGAGTCATGATCCTTCATATAAAAAGACACATTTTTTTCATCCATACATTTCTATAATATTTCACAATATTCTATACAATTTTCCAATAATTTCAAGTATTAAGCGACTGACATTTGGTTTAATTTCTCATTCACCAAATAACGAATTCCACTTAAGTAATCATATAAAATTAGTTACAATCAAATTTCGATACAAAATTCCAACATGTTATGCAGTGGCTGTTGCAACTTTTTTACCGACGCTAAAAGTGGCACCGACGTTGGGTGGTGGGTGGCGTCAATAGCTACTGTTGGTGGTTTTGGGGTAAGTAGATTGGGGAAGAAGGGGATGGTGGCGGATGGTTTATGTTTTTATATATTTTTAAATTAAATTATTAATATACTATAATTATGTTTTTTGTTGAAAATATGTAATGTTACAATTTTAACCTTTTAAAATTGGTCAAAATTTTGGTTAATGTCAATTCTTTGGTAAATAACTGTCAAACTAATAGAAATCATCAATTTGGACTTCAAGTGAGATTTTGAAAGGTTTGGTACCACGGGTGGTACAAATTAAAAGTTTGGGTCAAGTTTGCATAAGAGTGATAGATTTGGTACTGTGGCTACAATTTTTCCTATCTTAAATTTATTATCTAAAATTTGAATTTCACTAATTTCATGTGCCTTTCTTCGAGGGAGAGAAACCTTGTCTTAACTGATATTTGCTCATATTTGGTGCAAAAAATTCGAATTTATTGTTAAGAATTTATCCATATTTTCCTTCTTCATGTTAAAATATAGGGCAGGATTCTTCATGCATCTCGCATTTAAGGGATACGAAAGTCACAAAGACCATTCTCCATCTATTAGTCATAATGTTTGAATAAAAAGAAGTCAGAAAGACAAAAATGTCGAGGCATATAACAATTGAGGTCACATATAGTTAACACGGAAATAATCTTAGAGGGTGTTTGGTAGGAATTTTTATGTGAAAATGAATTTTTGAATAGTAAATTGATGGGAAATGTGTGGTTGAAAAATAAGAAAAAGTTTTTGATTTACGTGTAATATTATTTTAATAAAGAATGTGTGATTGAAAAGAAGAGAGAGAAAAATGCATTTTGATAAAAATGGGTGCCAAACAGGGCCTTAATCTAGTGTGTTCGAGATCACAGTTTTTATACATTTGACAAAATATTGGAAAGAAATACGACAAACTATATCAATTTTACAAGTGTTCGTTATAAATTTAAAAAAAAAAAAAATGACAAAGATGAAGTCAAATATGCAGTGACATCACATAAAATTTTCGTGTTTATAAATAGAAATAAACAAAGAAAAATCAACCTGAGATTTCATGTTTTATGAACTAGTATTAAGGTCTAAGGTCAATTCCTTCAACTATAAGGCCCCTTTCAGGTGCTCACATTTGACCTCTTTTAAACTCATTTTTACTTGACAATAAAGAAATTTGTGTATGAACACCAAGAATTGATTTGTGGTTAACAAATTGTTAATTCTACATAATACCGACGTTGATCAAAAGAATTTAAAATCTCTGTCTCAATAATATCATCCAATAGACAACCAATGGGCCAATGGCCTGCGATATTATAACAAGATTTTTAAGTAGACACTGAAAAAAAAAAGGGATATGCTTATTATACATCACTATTTACATAATCTTTTACAAATTGATGATGTGCCAAAAAGAAAGGTGAATTTTTATTTTATTTTTTTGATGAGATTTTGACCCAATTAAATTTCATCATATCATCTGCTGGTAAATTAATATCTAAATTATAATGTGTATATAGCACAACCTAAAAAGAAAATAGTAATTTTGCGAAGACCTAATTGACCCTAACTAAATGACAATCGATTACATAAGATAAAAATAAGCCAAAACAAATTAATTGAAACTATTTCATGTCTTCTATTGCATAATTAACTAATATAGTGCAAGCGTCGAGAATTGAATAACATCTTAATCTCACTCCTTCGAGTGTGAAGAGTATTAGGAGAAGATTGAATATTGAAAAAAAAAAAAAAAAAAAAACCTTCCAATGTTTATTCAGCCCTCGTTTGACCTCCATTATTTGGTGTTATAATTTTTGGAATAATATTTTTTTTTTTTTTTGGAAAATGTGTGGTTGAAAAAAAAGAAAATGTTTTTAGTTATGTATAATATTATTTTATTGGAGAATGTGTGGTTAAAAATAAAAGAGAGAAAAATGTATTATAAATTTAATGGGGTCAAACGGGGGCTCAATTTCAATTAAAAAAAAAAAGTCAACAATTCTTAGATATAAGTATTTATCATGTCGATTATCAAATCCTCTGCAAGATTGATTTTATTTAAAAATAGTTGCGGTCTTTGGCAAATACTCTTGTGGATTGGACCCTACTCAATTTATCAGAGACTTTTATTTTCCAGACGCTAAAAATATGTTTTTGTAGCTTTTATCAATAAAAGAAAATATATTTAAAAATTATAAGTAAATATTTTAAACTTATCGAAAAGTGTGAAATTTTTGATATATCCATATAGAGACAGAAGAAGTGGGAGTGGAAAATGCCTCCAAGTCAATATTCAAGAACAAGATTCTACGGCACTATTAATATATGTTTAGTAGTTTTAATTCAGACATTAGAATAAATTGTATGGAGATTAGCCTCATATGGTAGAGGAATTTGTTTAGAAACTACAAGAAAATTTGTCCTATACAATGGAAAATGCAGGTTGCTAAAACAATAGTTGAACGTTGCAAAAATATTAACGACAACACATAATGAACGTTCTTAAAGTAATTAATGACAACATGTCGCGAACGCTGCAAAATGACACATTAACATGTATTAAAAGAGTACTACGTACCAAATCTTAATTGAGTTACTTAATGGCAACATGAATTTATTGACTTTTATGATAGACAAGTAATTAACAATTTTTGTTATTTAGCCCCTATTTGTCATCTATTTTCCCTCATTCTTTCTGATTATTTTTTCTACAATACTCATTTTTAACCACACATTATTCATTAAAATAATATTATACGTAAATAAAAAAAAATTTCCTTCTTTTTTAACCACACATTTCAACATCTATCATTATTCCATAATATATTCTCAAATAATGGGTGACAAACACACCCTTTATGTTGCAAAAGGTCATTTTTCTAGACATGGTTTTTACGTTCTAATTTTCTCTAGAGTTATTTCATTCTAGTTGATATTCTGAAAAGATAATTCGTAAACAATTTTCAAACCATTTTTTACAAACCTATTATCCATTGTTGTGTCCCAATCATATAAGAAAGAAGTAGAGGCAGTAAGAAGTCAATATGAAGAAAGTAGAGATCATTTTTATAATTTATATTAGAAGGTTGCATGAATGAATAAGAAAGACCTTTTGAAAGATATTTTCTATGTACATTTCAATTGGTTTAACACCTATTGCTTAGGTCTAAGCTCAATGCCTTCAACAAGAAGGCCCCCTTTGAGGTGAACACCCTCCACCTCTTTCAAGCTCATCTTCACTTCTTCGTCTTTATCATCACAATAGAATTCACCCAATTCAACCTCTAACCATCCATCTTCGCGCATATGAAGAACGCGTTCTTCTACTTCATGAATTCTTGATCTTGATTCGTTAATTTTGTTTTGCATAGTATCACGCTCCAATTCTTGTTCTTTATACTCACCGCTTCTTAAATAAACTTTTCTTGTCGATTTATAATCACCAACTTCAAGTGAAACCTCCGATGGTAGGGAATCTAATCCAAATGCACGATTCGCAAGTTTAACAACGAGGTAGGCTCCATAATTGGTATTTTTTGTTAGCATTCGAGTGTTGATTTTGCCATATATCTCTAGCCAACTTATCATTATAAGCTCCACCCCTTCAGAAAATCTGATTTAACACCAAAAAAAAAAAAAAAAAAAAAAAAAAACAAAGATTTAAAAGATAGACGTAAGATATTTCCTTTCTAAGACTTTATTTTCGAAAAATTTAAAGTCGACTATATAAAACTCTTATTACATTCGAACCCAAATAGTGATTGGTGTATAAGAATAAAAAATAAAAATAAAAATTAAGTTTTATATGAAAGAAATGAATACCTTGATTGAAGAAGGGGTTTCCAGCTCCAACAATGAGGATTGCTTGCCCAAGCAATTGACAATTCCCTTGCACTCAACATGTAGCATTTTGTATTTGTAACTTTATCGATTGCAAATGTCTGCAGTGTAACAAATATTATTATTATTATTATTATTTGCCAATATATGTCAACTTGCTGATTGTGACAACCGAAAATAAATGTGTGGCTAGCATAATTTGAAATGCAAGTGAGCTAAATTGTATGGCTTACATGATTTTAAGTAGATATTTGGACTATGTTGTATTTACCTTGCTGCCCCCATCAATGAGAAGAGGAGTAGAAAGCTTGAAAAACAAATCCTTTTTGGATGAGAACTCCATTGGAGAAACCAACTTCGACATGATATCGCAATAATCACGAGGTAAGAATTTGTCCCATACGAAATCCGACTTGGCTGAATTGTGAAACATAGTAGATGCAAGCGAAGAATGGCATGCGTTACGAGGAGTCGTGAATGCAATAACGTGAGCAAGACAATCTTCAGGCAATTCCTGGATTGTTGTTTCCGACATGGATTAATAAGAAGAGCCAAGAATTTTGTACTGTGCCACTAGGGATGGAGGAAATTTTGGTTTCTTGTTTTTGATTCGAATATGAATGCAAAGGGCTTTATAGAGTTGGCAATGTGTTGAGGTTTGTCATAATAGATAAAAATACATGAATTCAATTCATGACAACATCCTTATCCGTGTTATCATGTTGGACTTCAACTAGAGGAATGAGTTTTAAATTTAATGCAATCCATAAGTCAAGGTCATACAAGTCTAGAACTTAATTGTAAAACTATTAAATTTATAATATTCTTATTTTTAAAAATATTTACCGGCTCAAACATTAGACCAACTTGGTAGAGGAGCTACAATCTTGCGATGATTGTGCTGACAAACGAGCAATATTCAGAAAGAGTACACACTCAATTTTCTTACTGTCAAATAGAATCATGCATTATTATCTTGTTGATCTCAAGTAAATTATGCAAACAGTAGTTAAGTGAAAGTGACTATTGGAGTAAAAAACTTGGTATAGAAAATTAAAAGTCTAGTTTTGAATAAAGTTAGACTCAATTATGTGAATTTGTTTTTCCAATTTCAATCAGTTCATTGCTAGCAGAAGATGCCACAACAAAATATATTTAAAGATATTACACAATGTGATAAAGCTTTACATCAATTATCAACTTACCATAATCCTACTATTTAATCTTGATTTGTAAGTTACCGTGAAAAAGATAAGGGAAGTAAGATCGGTTTGTTAAATAAAATTTAAAAATGTAAAATTCGGTTAGAGAACTAAACTCGTTTATGATTTTAAGAATTTAAGAGAGAGATTTTTTTATTTTTTATTTTTTTTTGTTGTTGGGGGGGGGGGGGTTACTTTATGCATATTATGCTAAAATGTCAAATTTCTTATAAGAATTCTTATTTTAAGTGTTGAAATTGAAAGAAAAAAATTGTTTTGAATTTTTTCATAAAAATGTTCGTTATTTTTTTATGAAGGGGAATATATATACCATCAAGGAAAAAATGTAATTGAAAAACGTTTTGGTAGTGTGAATTTAAAATATTGTAATTTATATGACATGTTAAAATTGTAAAAAATCTAATTCAATAAATTTGTCTTCCCCTGTTATCATTATAACTAAGATAATGTTAGAGCCGAGTAAGATCGGAAAATATCACCTATGTTATGCATGCATAAAATAAAATGTAGTGCAAGTTCTGTCTACGTACATAATGTGACCGGTTAGTAATAAATTTCCAATAATTGAGTGTTTAGATAAGATCAACATAAGCCATCATGGTCTTCCCACTATATGTATGCAATACTGAATTTTCTAAATTTTCCACAAGACAGACTTTTGTGGTTTCTCGTTAAGAATAATCATAGTTTACATCGAGTTTGAAGTTTATCCTACACGAAAGTCATCATTTTTTAAAGTTGAATACAAAGGGAAAAAATCTGAAAATTAAAATATATTAATAAGGGTATTTTAGGTACTTTATTATGGATATAAAAACACGTTTTTGATAAGGTTCAATTACTCCTTTTGTACTAAACAGTCGTAGTTATGCATGAACATATATTGTGTATGTATGTATGCAAAGACGAATCTAGTAGGAGGCCCCATATGGTAAAAGAAAATAGATTTTACTGTTAAATTGGTCCAAATAACTATGTTTAATCAGCCTA